GAGCGAACGCATTCGAGGACGATTCAGAAGGGGCAGCTGGAGAAAATGAGGATGAAATCGAGGGATTAGATGACGAAGAAGATACGAATGAAGATGAAAAAGATTGACCGTTTAAGGGGACGCTTGGAAGACCAGCTGGAGCGAACGCACTCGAGGACGAATCAGAAGGTGCAGCTGGAGAAAACGAGGAGGATGAAAATGAGGGATTAGATGACGACGAAGAGAATAAGGAGGATGAAAAAGATTGACCGTCTAACGGAACGCTTAGAAGACCGGCTGGAGCGAACGCACTTGAAGGCGATTCAGATGGTGCAGCTGGAGAAAAAGAGGAGGATGAAAACGTGGGATTAGATGATGAAGAAGAACCTGACGAAGATGAAAACGATTGGCCGTTTAACGCAATGTTCGGAAGACCGGCTGGAGTAAATGCACTTGAGGAAGGTTCAGAAGCTGCAGCTGGAGAAAATAAGGACGAAGAGGAAAACGATGGATTGGAAGGAACTGAAGAAAACCCACTAGAAGATACTTCAGAAGCTGCAGCTGGAGAAAATGAGGACGAAGAGGAAAACGATGGATTGGAAGGAACTGAAGAAAACCCACTAGAAGATACTTCAGAAGGTGGAACAAGTGAGGACGAGGGGGCAAATGACTGACTTGAAGGCGCTGTAGAAAACAAAGAAGAACCTTCCAGAGGGCTTGGAAGACTAGCTGGAGCAAGTGCGTTTGCGGAGGCTTCGGAAAGTGGAGGTGGTGAGAAAATCAAATTTGAAGAATATTCACGGGTAGAAACTCTCGCGTCTCGTGATAGGCGAGCAAAAGCACTTGAAGGAAGAGATGAGTAGCCTCTTATATACCGCCCATGTCCGGGACTTAAGACAGACACCGCACACAACACAGCAAAGCAGAACATCTTGAATACTAAACTTACCTGAGTCGCCGACAGCTTATAAGGGTAGCAATGACGCTCCTAGACAACAAGCGTGTTTAGAAAGCCCAAGGCAATTAATGCTTATCGGATATTGAAACCATGCCTCTAATGTGTGATCTATTATAAGGTCTAAGTCCGTGCCTTGAGGGGATTCACTAAGGTGAGGTCAATGTCACGATAGCAGTAAAAGTGTTGGGAGGATAACAAACGCTTTTAGTGTTCAGTCAAAAGAAAAGACATTAGTCAAAATGAAATTAAAATTAGAAAATAACGTTTTCAAGGTTAAACCATATTAACAGTTTTATATCTAGTTTATTCTATGCCTTTTTACAGTATTCAAGGGCTAAACTAATTTGTTTTTAGCTTTTTAGATATGTTTAAATTGCGTTCTGTACGTTTAATATTAGAAATTTACTGCTGAAATAATGACATAAAAGTAGACAATCGTCAGGTACAATCAATATAATAGAAAGCATAAAGTGCTTGGCTAAAAAAACCATCACAAAATAGCAGTCTTTATATTAAACGGTCTTTATGTCAATATGTATAGGTAGTCGACAATAGGTTTCCGACAATAGATTGGGTAATATTTTCGGCAAATGTCACATTAAAATGTACATTCCCTTTCTATGTTATAAACACGTAACATGTAAATAATAGATTTATGATTTCCCACAGTCATTATGTTCAGTTATACAAGGCAATTTAAATGAGCGTTTAATAACTTTATCGATTATTGCTATTACCCCAATAGAATTAAACCAAAACTGACGACACTGTGAAACAAAGCATAGTAGACATTATCAACACTTTTAACAAAAAAATAACTTTAAACGTGTACATACATGGTATATTTTGGTTATTCTAGGCTAGATTGTGATAATTCGATAAACCCAAAATATTGGTACATTTCTTTTCAGATTAATTAAGGGGATATTTAATCAAACTGAATGTTATTTTGAAATCATTTTGAGTTTTCGTGTCATTAACTGTGAATTTATTCAATTAAAACGAAACAATTTCACTTTGCAATGTCTCTTCTGATATCAACAATACATATCAACAAATGAAAATCTAAGGCTTAAGCCATCTGAAAAACGTTGTTGTATACGAATTTTAGATTTTATGTGAATGGCATTAGTTACAACTAAGAACAGAATCGGTCCAAGGACCGAGCGTTGTGGCACCCCAGCTCGTTAAGATGCTTCAAGAGATCTTTTACGTAATAGGATCTTCCATACAATTTACAATCTAACTATTTACTTTGTGTTGCCTGGTCATAATGACATCACAATAGTTTTATCTTCTTAGGCTAGGCGCACACGAGCGATTATTTTGAGGCGACTATTTCATCGGCCGATCTGTGCATCATGTATTTGAATGGAAGCGCGCACACAGGCGATCGAGAATTGCGCCGATTTTAAAATCTGGGTTTTGCCACAGATTCGTAGGCGAGGCGATTGTCGCCCAAAAATCTGTAACGTACAGATTGTTATCAGTCCGCGCACACGGTCGACTAAAAAATCGGCCAGTCGCTTGTTGTTCTCCACAGGAGTCAGTGAACTTCAGTGTGAGTTGTGTTGTTTTCTTTGCTAAAAATGCCTAAGCTGTTATAATAAAAACTAAAACTTTCAACAGACATTCTATAATAATTAAAGAACTTTTTACTGTCATCACGTAAAGTGTTGAGTTTAAAACTGTCGATTTAAAAGTCTCTGACTTACTATCGGATGAACCCATAATATTTAAGTTGTCTTCTTTTTTTCTTAGATCTAATTAGAAGAGCACAAACACAGGTTAATTCAACAAAGCCCATTTTAGGATTGCTAAAACGCACTCAAAAAATCCATTTCTTGACTAAAAAATCGCCACGTGTGCGCCTATACATAAATCAAGGGCGATTTATTTTTGGCCGATTTTTTAATCGGCCGATCGAAAAATCGACCGTGTGCGCCAGGCCTACGGAATATACATTCCTTAAAGTATTAAAGTACTTAAAATTGTCAAGCAACATTAAATAAAAAACATTTTAGTTGCATTTCTTGGTTCTGTCACTGTCTCCTCAGCACGTGTCAACAGTTGAGGGGTGGGTAATGTGGGGGGGGGGCAATGGCTCTCTCCGGGTGTAACGAACCCCTCCCTCAGTCGTCCTATTTTGATTAAACTCGGAATCGTATCAGGCAGTTGGATTACTAGATTCTTATAAGAGCAGTTGCTATAATTGCTGACAGTTCGGTATTCCACTCCCTGTCTGTAAGTTCAGTTGACGAACTAAATAACTAATTAGACAACTTGAATACCTAATTGGTTATTGTACTGGATTCTGCATTCCATCAGTTATGTTAATAATAGAAGTGTATTCTGTTTGTCATTATATTAGTGCTGTATTATGTTTATGATTAGATCAGTTGACTAAATGGTTGTAAACCACATACTGTTTCTCATAACGGCAGTTGACCTAATTTCTAATAGGGGTCTACATAAATCTCACAAGCACAGTTGCTATGATTTATACAAATACCGTATTCTATTTTTACCTTAAGGGCAGTTACCATGATTGGTGATAGTGCAGTATCTTCTTTCTGATAAGGTAACTTGTCATAGATACAACAGTAGCGTACTCTGTTATAGCGTACTTTTAAATTTATTTTATTTTTTTAATTATTAAATTTATGTATTTTATATCATTTTTTATGACTGTAATTTTGTTCGTTTTTTTGTGGTGCAACTGGCCAACGTGACCTGGTCTAACGTCTATCTTTTCGTTAGTAACACCATTGTAATTGGTAGTCCAACTACAAGTGAGATCTGGCTTCAGAAAGGATCTAGAATGAAATTGAATCTGTGACCTTCAAATCTGCAGGCAACTGTGGCACTATAAATCACTCGGCCACATACAATTTTCTAGAACCTTTACTGTGTTTTATAACACCATTTGCTAAGATTAGGCCTACTGACCTTATTCTGCTGCTTCTAATAGGAACAGTTATTGCAATTTCCGGATAGTGGAGGATCGTAAACTGGTTATTTTGTGATAAGAGGGTTTATTACGCAAAAAAGAGGGTTTTTTTTTACGTAAAGATAAAACTATACAGGGTGGTAAAAAAGTCCCTGGACAGTTAAATATTTTAAAAAATAATGCAGATAGAGCTACAATACTTGGTACAAAGTTACAGGGCATAAAACTCTATTTTAACACATATTCAGTGATCCAATAACTCTTCAGGGGGACGGCCCACAAGGAGTCGGAAGAAAATCTTAAATAGAAGCATAGGTCAATATGCACATCAAATTAAAGGTCTTTTTTAGTAAAATACAATGCCGCAAACCGCACTTCAAAAGGTTGATCCTGTGCAAAATGACAGTTGTTCAAAGATTCATTTAATTTGCATTGCTATTATACGCTTACTTCTCAGGGCAATTCAAAATGGCGGATTCAAGAAATCTTTGAACATCTGCCATTTTGCGCAGGATCAACCTTTTGAAGTGCGGTTTGCGGCATTGTATTCTACTAAAAAATACCTTTAATTTGATGTGCATATTGACCTATGCTTCCATTTAAGATTTTCTTCCGACTCCTTGTGGGCCGTCCCCCTGAAGAGTTATTGGATCACTGAATATGTGTTAAAATAGAGTTTTATGCCCTGTAACTTTGTACCAAGTATTGTAGCTCTTTCTGCATTATTTTTTAAAATATTTAACTGTCCAGGGACTTTTTTACCACCCTGTATAATATGCTTTAATTCAGCAGTATATGTTCACAGTGTAAAAAATTAAATGTATTGCGCGTAAATAATTGCATTACGCGCAATAAATTTAATTTTTTACACTGTGAGCATAGTGTATTAGGTTGTAATCAGGAAGCACAGAAGCATACATACAATACGTTCAAACTATTCCCACCCTTTAGTGTAATAGGGTGTTTTCCCATTTCGGATAAAAGTGGTGCGTTTTACCCTACTGTAACTTAATTGTTTATCACCAGAACAGTTAGTTGTCATAGTTACTACACATGGTTTATTGTTGCAGCCAGCAGCGTGTCGGTGTCAGCTTGGACTCTAGTAGTGATATCCGTAGAGAGGTACTACGCTATCTGTCATCCTCTGAGATCAAGACGATGGCAGACGTTATCTCATGCCTACAGGATGATAATCGTCATCTGGCTGACTAGCGTATTCACAATGGCTCCCATAGCATACCTGAGCCAGCTCATCCCGACAAATCAAGGTACGGCGAGACATTGCCTCAATTATATATTATATCGGTTTATTTAATTAATTGATTCGTCTATTTAATAATTTAATTCATTCAAATTATCACGCATTAATAATCATTTCATATCAATATGTATTCAATTTTCTATTTTAATCATCTACCAAATTTTTAAATACAAGATGTCACCAAAATAGCTTACAGTATAATCGCAACTTTAAGCAGAATTAAAATAAAAACTATGCAAAGGTTGCCACAAACAACTTTTGTTTCTTACAGCAATCTGGTCAAAAATATTAATGTTAAACGATATGATAATTTTTTATTCACGATTTCCTGATCTTGTGTTTTATTTTAAACATTTGAAATTACTGCAATATTGAATTTGGAAATCATAAATTATTAAATAATTGCATTTTGAATAAAAACTTGGGAAAAGTTGTGGGTGACTAGGTACATGATGGGTTAGCCTCTGGATCAAGATCATGCAAATATAAAAAGTTAAATTTACCTGTTGCGTCGATGGATCCTTAACATATAAAATAACTACGGCCGTTTCGTGCTGCTAAGCGAGCACATCTTCAGGTTGTAGGAACGTTAAACCATGGTCTTCTCATCCGTGGATGGAGTCGTCAGCACATTTAGGACATTTGTATGTGTTTCGTGTTATGTGTCCTAAATGTGCTGACGACTCCATCCACGGATGAGAAGACCTACAACCTGAAGATGTGCTCGCTTAGCAGCGAGAAACAACCGTAGTTATTTTATAACTTAAGGATCAATCGACGCAACAGGTAAATTAAACCTTTAAAAATTTGAATAGATACTTACATTTGATTAAAATTCTTTCCAACCCCTATCAGATACAAACATAGTCGAAAGGAGTACTGCATTTACATAGCAATGACCCGATTTGCAATCACGTACTTATCCAAAATACAACGCAAACGTGCAAGAGAATGCATAATAATATGCATTGTTATATAGGACGAATGAATCGTTGAACTATTTGTGCTCTTACTAAATCTAACATTGTACCTTTCATAGTTTTCCGACCCACTTTGTTCATATCAGGCATTATGCTCAACAAACTAAGAAAAAAAATGTTTAAAAACCCACACCTCTCTGGATCTCCTGCTCCTATTTTTTTCTTCATATTACTGATAGTAATCTAGTTCTTCACCTTTTACCCATCTTTTATTTAATTTTAATTCTTCCAGGTCACCACAAGTGTAGGGAGATTTGGCCTTCCAGAACCATGGAGAGAGTATATAATATCTTCCTAGATCTCTTCCTCCTGGTCCTGCCTCTCGTAGGACTCATGGCCACTTACGCCCTCATCATACACACTCTCTGGAAGGGAATGAACCTCCAAAACACCGGCCAAGTAATTGCAAGTATGTATTTTTGAATGAATAAACTGTTTACAATTGGACAGTAGGCTTTATAAACTAAAAATTTCAGCACAAGTTTAACCATAGCCACATGGTTCATTTGAGTTATAATCAAGTGTTATTTAACGTCATTCAATACGTGTCACACCCTTTTCAGTCACATTTTTTACGAAAATTCCCCAACCAATTCGAGTAATTGCTTTCAAACTCCGGAAAGTGTTAGAGACAATATTGATAAGGAAAACATCTGCACAGAGTGAGCCATCAATCACCCTTGAGATCTTAGTAAATATTTATCTTATGGCAAACTTTAAATTGGGAAGTTTACCTCCACCTTGAACACTCCACTCAACGTTGTGGGAAACTCAGTAAACGCCACGAAAAAACTTTCCCCCAAATACTTATTAGTATTTACTCATTTCAATATTATTTAAGTTACACTTCCTAAAGGGTGCAAAGTTCATTTCGTTTTTCTAGAGTGTAAGACCATAAAAAATGTTTTTCTTTACTACATATCAATTTTATCAACCAACTAATAAGTTTATTTAAAAATATTGAAATGTTTAAAATTCTTCTTGCATATAAACTTAGAACAATAATTATCATGATTTATTTACTAGACATTAAAATACTGTTTATTGATATTACCCTGACCCAAAATTACATAAAAATTAATCCTTAAGAAAAGTAATACGCTAATACATATAACATCCTTGAAGTTTTCAATTCAATTCGGGATTCCAAAGTGAATCAAACTACAAGGCAAAGTAGGAGATTAAATATCAAAGCTGCACTGTTACAGGTGATTCATTGTACCGTTATGATAGGTAATGTATCCTAGCAGAAACTTATATCAATGACTTCCCGTAATACAACATAAGATTGTCCAGTATACATTTTCGGGCTGTGTTTGTGAACTGTGATCCATACTGCTCAGGTATCAATTGTGTGGGAAATAATGCTTAAACTATATATCAATTGAGGAAAATGTAACAGTCTTAAGAGTAAATACCCCCCCCCCCCCCCGAAGCAAACCTGTTGACTAACAAATTTAAATTAGTCTGATTATATTTCCAATTAATTTTATTTAAATAACGAGTACCTAGGGTTGATACTACGGGGAGGGTAATAAGGTGTGTTTTTAGTAAAATTTTAATAGGTTAGTATAAAATAAATAAATTTGCCAAGTTTGATCGAAATATATCCATAAACAAGCAAACTACAACAGTCTTCTGATTCTTTAAAAAAAATAACCTGATATTATAAAACATTTGTTTCTATAGCTGTAAAACGTTTTTTATACGTGTTTTTTTCTGAGTAGTAATAAAATTAACGAAGAATTTTGACTAATAATACTATTTTTTACATAAATATACTTAATAAACTCAGACGTACCAAACGGAAATCATCGTACCACTGGAAGCAATAATTATTGTAGGTGTTCACTGATGGTCGTGTTCCCAAACTTGATTGTTCTGACGAATGTTAATCTTTCCAAGCGTTCTTTATATGTCTGAAAATGACAGGCTCGTCCAATCACTGTGTCGAGAGTGTGGTTTTTAATTCAAGAGGAACTTTGATTAGTTTTGAGTTCAACGAGGATTTTAACGGTCGTTACACACAGTTTGGAAGGTTTAACGAGTTCAAAATTTCAATGAACGTTTACAGTGTTATTACAGCGAAATGTTATTGGCGTGTAATGGTTTGACATTTGGAATATAACATCCTATAGAAAACTTAGAGCTATTGGAAAGCCCACTTTTTTTATCTAATCCTTTAACCAGGTCCAGGTAGCTGAGTGATTATAGTTATCGCCATCAAATCTGAAGGTAGCTGGTTCAATTCAAAGCTAGATCGTTTCCACCCCCAGATGCCATTTGTCACTGGGCTATAAATTAAACATGCTATCTAACAATCAAAACGTGGAAAATGCCATTGGCGTGGAAAGCACTCACAACACACGAAATCCTCTTATAATATAATATTTTTATAGTGCTCGCCTGGTAATCAAAAGTTTGCCGGTTCAATTCTGAAGAATGTGTGTAGAGTTCTGATGGTTCGAAACTGGACCCAGCTTTTCTTTAATCGTTAGGCTTTCAACAAATCGAACAGCTGGTCAGTAACTAAGCCACACACGGCATCAAACTCCGTTCTACCATTGTTCTACAATCGCCCTTCACTCGTAGTTGGGTTAAAATACGCACATAGATGGCGTAGATGGCGCTCCCATCTCAATTGAACATAAATACTGCCGATTCTGTAACAATAATATGCCCCATACTGTTTTTAGTCATAATGTTTAACATGTAGTAAAAGTAAACTCCACATGAAAAAGATAAATTTATCATGCATAGAAATCGATATTAAATCACATAAATTTTACCTAATAGAAAATCATACTTTTTAGAAGAATTTGGTAGAACACGCAGACATCTGTATATAAAACGTTAACCAGTTGGTTTAACACACTCATGGACTGGAGCAAAGTTACGCTTTATCTTGAAGAAACGTCAAAATATGAAAAGGGTGGGTAGAGTCTAACAAGTGCAGTGTTGCGTGGAGTTTCAGACGATTAAATGGCAAACCACCTTTGTTGTCTGCTGAGTATGATGTTAACTCAAAAGTTTTTAAACCATGAACACGTCACTCTTACGAATAATAAGAACAATCATACTGATCTTAGTTTTACTTCTTACAGCCTTAAGTAACAAATTATTGTTATGGCAGAAAACGTTTATCATTGCCATTAACATAATCCATGTATGTTTATTTGATTTTAAAATAATACATAGTTTAATTTTAGATTTTTTGTTAAATTTCTCTCAAAATATTTAATTCGATTACTAAAGACCTTACAAATTAAATACAAAATCTTAAATATTCATTAATAAATCAATGCAAAAGCTCAGAAAACATTAGTATCCTATTTGTGCTTAACATCTCGATAGTTGTTCAATTCTGGATTATATGAGTAGTTTGGTTTTAAAATATAAACAAAGAATATTTTAAATCAAGAGGAAACATATTTAAGTATGCCCCATAAAATCACGTAATATATGCATTTTAACTAAGTTAGTGTTTTAAACTATTATTTAAAAATAAGTAATATAAAATAACCAAATAGGCTAATTCAAAAATTAAGTAAAATATAAAAAAATGAAATAACTCAAAACGGTAAAATATTTTTTAGAGGTTTCCATTATTTAAAAAGCATCACAATTTTTGAAGGAAATAAAATTCAAATATGTACGTGTTTAAGCATGAAATAAGAGAAAGCGATATTTTCAAATGCAATTTACATTTTAATCCTCCATAATTTAGTTTCAGGTAGAAAAACTAATATATTGAATACCAAGCAGGAAACTCTTTCTTTAATTGGAAACTTTAACTTATTGCTTTTAACTGAATGGTTAAATTAATTTAATGTTCTAGCAATTGAGTATTTTTTTAATAAAGTACCTTATCTCCCTTAGAACCAGTAATTATATGTTTTATTGTTGTTGGTAGGAGTTAAACTTTAAGAAATCCAAACGAAAACAATGAATGCCACTCCAGTTTTTCCAAAGACTTGAATAAATACACCCAGATTTCAATGGGAATGGGTTACTTTAGCTTGTTTGCAGTCTTATTTTTTGTGCTTAGAAGTATTGAGTATTCACTTAAATTATTAAATTGTTAATAGTTAAGATAAAAAATGTTTCGGTACCAGTATGAACCATGATAAGTTAGAGGCGATATATAGGAATACACCTGAGGCATTCAGATTATAGTTTCACTTTCAAATACGTAAAAAACCTTAAGCTTTTTTGTAGTTTTTTAAAACCTTTGTCTTTTAGCGAATTTCCCATATAGGGAATAAGCTATTACCGTAGGTCTCATGGTAAGACCTAGACCCGGGACCGATTTACTTTGTCGTTTTGAGGTCCAGCATAATCGAACCATGGGAACAGGGGTTTATGGGGGGTTTTATGGGGTAAAAATGGACCCATTTTCAACCCTAAAAGTAAAGATTTTGGCGATTTCTTTCTTTACCATTTTGTAGAGCTTAAAAAAAGAAATAATTAAGTATATTGAAGCGCTGTTTTATGCCTAACGGTCACGGAGAAAAAATGTAATTTTAAGTTCCCATGTTTTTCTTATGGAGAAAATGAAAACTGTTGTAGTTTACTTGTTTATGGATATACAGTATGTTGATAAAATTTGGCAAATTTATTTATTTCATTCTATACTATTGACATATGGTCAAAAAACACTTTTTACCTTCCCCGTAGCAGCAAACCTAAGCACTCGTTAAATCTAATGTTTATTTAAATTGGGAATAAATATGTCTTATTTATGGAAATATTTTAGTAAAAATCAGACAAGTTGAAATTCGCTTAGTCTGCAGGTTTGCTGCGGTGGGGGTATTTACCATCTAACGTAGACATTTCTTTGGTCGTCACTAATTTGTAGTCCAATTATATCACATCTGGGTCTAAACACGATCTCATATCAGTTTGTGTTTGGGTAAAAACTGTATTTGACAGAAAAATAAAGATTTAACAGTTCTTATTCATCGTATACATTACAATTAATCGAAGATCAAGTATAGGTTATGTGTTTTGTATGCATTTTTTTATTTATCAGTATAAAATAAGTTATAAAGAAAGCATAAACTGATAAATAAAACAATAATTCGAGGGATTTAAAACCAATCTGATTCTCAACCAGATTAAATTACTCGTATGCTATTGAAGTTCTCATTCAAAAACTTGGCCAACAAATTGGATCTGTGAGATATTAAATTAAACTATTCCATCCGTGTTTTCTCGTTATTCAAATTTAAGTCGAGGATTATAAAACTGTTTGCTGGCTTCTTATTGTCAAATTGATGATTCATTTTACAACTATCGTAAATGTGACGTCAATAGGGACTCGTGTTACTGCCTACAAACATAATTATATAACGACCACATTGCACGATTAAGACGCAAATTGTGCTTTGTGGAAGGTAATAATATTTT